ACCTGTGGCCAGTCAGTGATCTGAGCCCTGGGATCGCAAGGGAAAACAGTAAGTTTTAGCCTCCAGCTGGGAATAGTTCATGGGATGTTCTCTTGGATGCAGGACTTTGATAAGGCAGTGAGTGAGACTCTCCATGCTAGGGCGAGACACTCCATGCTAGGGTGGAAAGGCCAAAGGGTCAGAAGATTCCTTGATATATATAGGTGACAGTCGACATTAGATTTAGGGGATTGACAATTCTTTATTGAATGACTTGGGCCTCTGAACTCTGTGGACTGAGAATTTTAACTGCCTTTTCATCCTAACTCTGCCACAGCCCACTCAGCTGAGAATTAGGAGTTTAGCAACATAGAGTCTTCACTTCCTTGGGCTGAGTTAGCAGCCTGGCCTCAGGAATTTACCTCCAGATCAGATTTTGCTTCTTGATTCCTTAGAAATCTGAAATAAAGTCTGATCAGTTTTTTTTAAATGAAAGGAAAGGGTTAAACTAAATAAACAAGAGGCTAAAGGGAAAACTCAGGTGCTCACAGGCTAATTGCAGTAGAGTGAGCTCTTCTGGCTCTCGGTGTGGTGTGTCCATCCGTAAGATGCAGTTAATGACTCCAGAAGGACCTGGACTGGGGTCAGTGGCAGGGGGTGGTATCCAGTGCACTGCATCTCGATGTGGCTCATCCACTGCACTGGTCTCTGTTCTCAACAGACTTCTGTTCTTCAGAGACTGGGATTCTCCTGCATGCTAGTCTCTCTCTGCCAACTCCCACCAGCCTGTCTCTCCATGTATTTAAGCCCCACAGGCTGAGTGTTTTTTTCTCCCACCCTTCCTATCAACTCATTTTTTTTTTTTGGAGATGGAGAATCACTTTACTAGACATAACCAAATCGTTTGCACTGACCCATGAGACATGTGCTGATACTATTTTAAGCATATATTCACTTTTTCTAAAACCATTGTGGTTTTTTTTATTATTTTAAAAAATCAAATTAGATTCTTGCATCTACAAACACTCTAGCTATGAAGTGTTTCAACATAAGAGTTCAACACATCTATTTAGCACTTCTCTTTCTATCTAAATATAAAGTTCTTGGTTATATGGTTTTGCACTGTGTGGTTTTCATATAATCCCTTGAAACAATGAATGTTTCCATTACATGGAAGTCTATCGTTAATTTTTAATGACAAGGGTAATGATGGCATGGGATAATAACTGTAATAATTTAAAAATGGGTCTGGAGAGATGCCTCAGCTGTTAAAAGCACTTGTTGCTCTTGCAGAGGACCCAGACTCAATTCTCAGCATCTACATTGTGGCTTACAACCATCTATAAGCCCAGTTCAAAAGGATCCAACAGGTATACAGGTAAAATATGCATACACATAAAACAAATTAAGCAAAAGAGTGATCAGATAACACACACACACACACACACACATCAAACCTTAATATTTAGGGCATCAATGCCTGAACAAAAGTATTGACTAATAGTGTTTCAATGTCCCAAGACCAAACTTTGGGCCTTATTTCTTTCCACATCTGTTTTTAGTCATAGGCTCACTTGAAATTTTAATAATTGAGTTTAATAAATATAGGATCAGAGAACATTATAACTGGTTTATAATGAATTACTTTAAACTATATTTAGAATACTATATGGTCACATGGTGGTGAGGTACAATTATTTTGCAATAAAGCACAGTATCACCGATGAGGAGAGGTTGTCATGTAAATCAGAATTGGGAACTTGCTTTACAGGATCAGGCACTATGGTGAGGGATCCACTGCCTACTAAGTATCTCATTAGTTGTCCAACATTTCCCAGCTGTCCCGTGTTCATGTCAGTTCACTGATGAGAACTGGCTGCTACTGTGGGCCGGCGTGTGTGCATGTCTCATGAACATAGAGGGAAGATGAGAAGCCACCTCATGTTCAGACAGCGAAACATGAGACTGAAATGGCCTAGATCCCTCCTCAGGGCATGGAGATCTGTAACTTTGGAAAGTTATCTAAACCCTCACTTGAACTCATGGGAATGACAAATAAACCTTTGTATTAAGCCACTGAGATTATGAGTCTCTTTGTTATTATAGTATAGCTTGATCTACCGTAGTGTGTTCTAGAATCGTGTTTCTAAAAGTTTTTTTTTTTTTTTTCTGAGACAGACAGTCTCTTACATAGTTCTGGCTGTTCTGGAACTCACTGTGTAGACCAGGCTGACCTCAAACTCACAGAGGTGTCTGCCTGTCTTTGCTTTGCAAATGCTGGGATTAAAGGCGGGTGGTACCATGTCCCGCTCTAAAAGAGGTTTGATTGTGACCCACAATAAGACATACATTTTACATCATGGGCCTGTACACATGCTCAGGCAGGCAGAAAGACAGATGTTCACCTGCACACACAAACACACACTCTCTTTCTCCCTCTCTTTCTCTGGTCACCTGCCCTCCCCTCTCCTCCCCCATACACTGGGATCATGTACCTCAAGAAACAGTACTTAATATACATGATTGACCTACACTCCCCTGTTAGAAGTTCTGGTATTGATTACCTACACTGAATTTATAGCCCACTACCAAATGTAAGTGGAGTCTCAGAAATGCTGTTGTTGATCACATGTTGATCATGTGACTTATCTGCTAATTACGCATCTGTCAAGCATATTTGCTAAAGCAGACTTTTAAGATCTGTCTTTGGCTCCTACAATGGGTGGAAGTGTTTTGTATAAGATACAGCACATCCCACATATTTTCTGGAAGGTATATTTTATTGTTTAGCCTCCTAATGTACAACATATTTTTAAAATTTCCTTAAAAATTTTTTGTCATGGAGTAACAATATTAACCTGATGGTTATTTACTTATTTTCAGTTTTGAAAATAAATAACTGTCTCTTGCATTAAAATCAAGGGCATCATAAAAACAGCACTGTCTAGACATAGTTTTGTGTATTTGATGCCAAAAATGAAATAGAGACCAAATATTATATTCAGCATTATATACCTTTATATACTATATACTCATATCAAAACTTGCCATATATATTAAGAAGCTGATAAGTTACTCTCTAATTTCATAAATTATACCACAAATGTGAAAATATGGACAACTATTTTATATTTTTGCTGCTTAAATAAGACATTAATGTTTATACAGAGAGCTTCAAAATTACAGAGGTGTCATATTGGGAAGAGATGAACAGACATGTCACCTGAATATCCACCGGCCTTTTATTCAGCCAGAATCATTATGATATTTTCTGAATACTCTTTTAGAGATGTATATGGTGGCTATTTCTTCAGTACATACAGAATACACACATATTTAGGTATATGTGTGTATGTACATTTTTACAAGTATATATATATACACACATATACACATGTATATAGTCTACATATGTATATATATTTCTGTGTGCACTTATGCATACATGCACACATAATGTCCTTTGGTTTATTTCCAGACCATTAACGTGAAATGAATTTTCAGTGATTACCATTTTTTCTTTAAATATAAGGTGGTTGAAAAAGATCTTTGCAACAAGTAATAAATTTCTTTAAAAAAATCATAAATATTATTACACTGAAAAGCATGATACAGGGAAAGTTACAAGGTGTCAGAGAAGACAAGATTCTTGCTAATATGATGGAGAAGAGGAATGAAAGAAGTTTTCCACGATTCTCTCTTAAAGCTGCTGCCCTCAGGGAATGGGGACCCCAGTGCTTCTATGTTGTCACTGGCTTCAGTAAAGGAACTCTAGACTCTGTTCGTGTTTCAGGGATGGGAGGATGGGGGAGCCTGTCTGGCTGGGGGTGGGGGTGGAATGACTGAGCACTGAGATTTGAGCAAGAAGCCAATCCTTGGGTGGGGACACCAAGTGACCATGGGTGACTTTGGTAATAACTTAGGAAATGAAATGGTGTCATTTAAGGTTGACAACTGTCCGTCCCCTTGTTAGAGATTCTCAAGGGTTTGAGTTGCCAAGATAACATGTGCTTTTCTAAAAGAGGCTGTCGCTTGCTTCCTTCTGGCCTCCAGTTATGGGGAATGAGGTGGCACATGTCACAGGGGGTGGGACAGGCTCCTTGCAAGTCTAGGTCCACTTGAATATGGACACTTGTGTCTTCTGATGTACCCCTTTCATCTACCGGCTACTTCTGGGACAGTGGCCCGTTTGCCCGGCACATCAATCAAAGCACAATTTGAGGGAGGGAGACATTGCACTCCAGTGATGCTTTTGGGAAATCCAAGCTTAAGTGGATGTGGGTAAAGCTATCAACAACAAACCAAAATGCAACACAAAACAAAACAGAAAACCTCTTGCTTCTTGATTGTGTCACGTCAAGGAAGTCTAAAACCCCCCAGGAGAAGGAATGCTCCTGTTTCTAAAACGGGTAAACTGCCCTTCGTCAGACAGCTGCATGACCTGCCTTGCCGCTTTCCCCCTTGGGTGGCCGTGTAAAGGGTACCAGGGAACTGAGGCTGTGTGGATGAACTCTGTGCAAGACAGGCATTTTTGGCTGCTCCAGTTAATTCTATGCCAACGCAGAGCAGCAGCCGGGGACAGAAGAGTCACATGTTTCAGTTTTATGTCCCCCTGGCAGGGTGGAAGGACCATGACTTGGGTATCGGTGGTGCTTTTCGATGTGCGTGTCTTTGAAGTTTCCTCCCCCTGCCCAGTGTTTAGGGCTCCCTAGGGATATCATCTATTTCATCAGGCAATCTCAGTTTACATCCCAGAATAGTCTTTCTTCATTCAAGCCACCACCCACCCCGTGCTGGAGCTGCGGAGCTCACCCTGCCAGCTTGCACTTCCATGCGCGTAACAGCACTTCGGCTGAGACCACATGTGTTCCTGAGCCACCAAGTGTGGCTTTTTAGATGCATTCTTTTTTCTTCTCAGATATGGAAAAAGAAATCGAGGGCAAAGATGTCCCTGTTTTGTTTACAGTGTATCACCCACTTACGGGACAGAAATAAAGGTCGAGTCACACATAGGACATAGATGTTGGTAGGAATGCTGTATTTGGGCTACAGAATTAAAAACGATTGCTTCCATTGTAGTGAAAATAATCATGGACAGTGAGCAAAGCTGCAGACCAGGCTGGGGTTGCTTGTGTGGGGGTAACAGGAATTGCTGGGTGGCTGGTGGCAGCCAGACCGTGGAGCAAGGACAGAGGCAGAGACAGAGAGGAGGGGCGGTGGCGATGGAAGCATGGCCCTAGTTCTTCTGCAGGATACTCTGCAGACTCCTCTCCACGGCTTCGTCCAGCTCCTCCTCCAGCTCTTGCTTCTTGGACATGGCCAGTTTAGACTGGTAATCCCTCACCACCTGATCGATGTATGGGGCACTCTGGGTGCCATGTAACATCAGGGTCCATTCCTTCAGCAACCCCTTCTGTGGCACACTGCCCACAAACCCCAGCTCCAGGGTCCAGGTCCCTCGGGCATCCTCCCCCCAGGTGTGGGTGGTCATGAAAGGCCACTTGTCAAAGCCCACCTTGGAGTCGTCGTCTCTTGGACGCCGGCTCAGCAAAATGGACTTGGTGCCCATCGGGGAGGTCATGTTGATGTTCAGGTCTCCTCTCCTGGTCGCGTTGACCGTGATGACCGCTTGGACATGCTCGAGGTAGCGGACGAAGTTTTCTTTCCCCTCACATGCATCTGTTTGGAGGGTCAGTACCAACTTGCCAGTGGGCGGTATTTTTCTGAGGGCAGAGAGAAGAGATTTGATAAGAGAAGGTACGCATACCATGGGAAGGGGCTTCAAGACACCATGTGAAGCAGGAAGAGAAAGTGCTTTGGGGATTATTATTGAGACTGACTTGGGTTTTGGGCTTCACATCAGCTGTGAGCTTGAGCATAGACGCTCCCCTGTAAAGGGAAGGCAGCCACTGCTGGTGTCCCCACATCTAAGCCCCCTGTAGTCACCTGTAACTACAGCTCTCACGTAGCCTGACCACCTTCCACGTCAGACCTCCCAGCTTCTCCCCTAAGAACATCACGGGCATCTGCTCAGTCTGTGTGCAGGACACCTGACAATATCAGGGATTGAGTTCCTCGGGGAGAGTCCCCGAGCAATGACTGACAGGATGTGTTCCATAAATGTTCTCTGGCATCCCTGTCTCTTAGTGGGATGACTCAGTATTCCAAACCGGCAAGGTCTCATCTTAAGGTTAGCTTTAGGAGCAACTCAGATGGAGGCAAAATTTCACAATGATTTTCTTTTTCTTTTTAAAAGAATATTTAAAATTTGTCCTTTGACAATTTCCTACATGTATACAATGAATTTTGATCATATCTACTCTCCACTTCCCACCCCACCTCCCCTGGACTCCCAATATGTCCCCCTTTTTATATGAGAGAAGAATTAAAAATAAAAGAAAAAAGGGAATCATCGATAGGAGAGCCACCTTTGCTCATTGTCATTGTTCACTAAACAATACAGTTTAGGAACTATCTATTTAACATTTATTTAATTTTATATACACATCTGGAGATGAGGTAGGGCACACAGGGTCGTGTGTCACAGGTATGATAGGACACTGTTTTACAGGAAGAGTATTCATTGATGTCCTGAACATCTGTGGTCCTGGAGCAAAGCCTCCACATATGCTGTGGGATAGCAATCTTTTCAGGGGTTTCTTATTTTTTCTTTCTTTTCCTCGCTTGTGTTTTGGTTTTTTACCATAGTGACTGCATCTTGTTTTTATAAAAAGAAAATAGGAAAAAAGTTAATTTTAAATGAAAAAAAGAGAGAGACCTGTGCTTAGGAAGAGTTAGCTTAGAAGAAGTTAAAAGGGCAGGTGGCTGTGGAGCAGATCTAGAGTGCCCATTCTTAGGCTGTGTTCTGGACCGCCTTCAGTGCAGACACACTCCAGGACACTTCAGAGCAGCTGACCTGACAGAAGGAGGTGCACGAAAGCCCGGTGCTCAATCCTATAAAGAAAACCCTGGGGGTGTGTGGGTGGGCTCGTCTCTTTATCTTGTTACGTACATGGCTTTAAGCGAGCAATCAGTTGATTCCTGCCTAGAAGCAGCATTTCTTAGTGGGCCCCATAGAGTGCCTGTGCCATGGATCCTCAACTGAGTAATTGTGATTCTTTCGTTAATCGTAGACAACAAACACTCCGTTCAAAGGGCATAAAATGCCCAGAGTGTTGCATTTGTGAGCACTCCCCAGTGGGATACCTGTTCCTGCACAGACCCTCTGGTCTACTGCCTAGTGACCCCTACAGGAAGACACTGGGGGTCGGAAGGGCTGTGCAGAGCTCAGCAGCTTTTACAGGGCAAAGCACATTCTTTCTCCCTCTCCTCCACGCCTCTTCCGGCATTCATTTCAGGTTTTAACACGTTTTCCCAAATTTGCCTGGAATTCAGTTGGACCACGTACTCAGTTAGAGGAGCTGCAGCAGCGGTGCCCTTGGAATGCACTGAGGGTGGGGTGTGAGTGTCCTGAACTCAGCGTCCCCCTCCGCCCGGGTGATGGGGCAGTGGAGTTCATTTTGTTCTTTGCACATGGCTGGCACAGCTGCTCACAGCCGGCTTTCTTTTCCCTTTGATCCTCCTTGAGCACCCTTCACTGAGTCTCTTGATAAAGTTCTTTAGAAAATTGCTTTTCAAATTGCCTCCTTCTCTGGGAAGATAACTGCCGAGGAAACCCATATACCTGACAATCACCACTCTTAGCGGTACGAGCTGTTTTTGTGCAGCCCGAGTGTCGTGGGAAGTGGCGGTTGTGGAGGCTGTTCATCCCTCTATCAAAGCTTCTTAGAAGTGTGATTCCAGGTCAGCAGGGTCTTGTCTGCCGAGTGGAATGGTCAGCCCTATGCTGCCCACTCAGCCCTCCTGTCTGACCTTTGAGTTCTCTGAAACCAGGATGCTATGCTGTCTGTGTGTGAGGAATAGGTAGTGGCTTTCCAGCAACAGGAGCGTGAGTCCAAGACGGTAACGTGGGCTGACCAGGCATGCTCCTAACGTCACTAAATTGCCATTTCCTGTTCTGTTTGCCCTGTTCAGCACCTCTCCTGCCAAGGAGGAGCTGAGGATGAGCTTTAGTCCTGACAATAGTAACTAGCTATTGGTGGCCACCTCTGCAAAACTACCTGGAATCAGATGGAATGGGAACTGGAGCTACTCAGTTGTGCTTTTACCCACTGGTGCTCAACAGCTGTCCACTATTATTTTGGATGGTGTAGGTGTAAATCCCACCACCCATAAACCCTCCACATTTCTCCAGAAATTCTTTCAAATGCCACCCAGAGACCCAGTGTTCAAGGCTTCTGTAACTGACTTCAGTTATCGTAGTCATGTTGAGTAGGGTGGAGCCCTCAGTGCCCCAGGCAGGCATGTGTCCCAGTGCTCTCTGTTCAGTGACTTCCAAAGGATGAGCCACAGAGACAAAGTCTCAATAATAACAATTATGTTTGTTTTTTTGTGGGGGGGGGGGCAGGGAGGAACCACTCTATAGGTAGGAGTGATTCAAAGTCTCCAGGAGACTTACTGAAAAATCCTCCAGGCATCACCTCCTTCAGTGCAGACTCACGGAGACACATAAGGGCCTGTATGGCCTCCTCTCAAATATAATCTTGGCCACTGAGTAGCTAGGAGACCATCAGCATGCCCTCAACCTTCTCCAACTTCATCTCCTGATCCATGAGGACCCCACTGAGCTCACAGCAGGACTGCCACAGGGCCTGATACAGGGCCCAAGAGCACAGGAGGTCATCTGATCAGTGAACTAAGGTCAGAGTCATAGTGGAAAGAGCCTGGGCCTTGTCTTTTCCTTTAGTTCTGGTTTGGTCTCTCTTGACCTTGAACATATTTCTCATGCCTTCTGTATCTCAGCCTCCTCATCTGTAAAAGATAACAGTGATAGAACACATCTCCCAGGCTCATACCGGCTATATATACTACATGGAAAAGCTTCCAGGAACTCTCTGGAGTACCCATTTTTACCTCCTATTTCCTAAGAGACTACAATTTGTTTTTACTGGATCTTACAGCCAAGTTATGAATAAATAACTTGAGGCCACTTAAGATTTAGCCTGATCTTCTGCCGTGTGCTCAGCCTGTTTGTTTAACAGTGCACAACCAATCTCACTTGCCTTGGATTTCCCATCTAATCTGCTTTTACCACTTAAGCTAACGGATAGCTTTAATCTTAAATTATCCATGCCTCAGGCCCAGAGGGCAATGCATGCATGTTATGATAATCATTTGTTGAAAACAGCAAACAGATCAAAAGCAACATTATATAACAAATACCTGCAATAAATTATTGGAAGCAGCATGCAGATATTGATAGAGGCATGCTTGCAGTATTGAATGCTTCAGAGTCAGCTGATGCAAATGACTTAATTCCCTGCAAAACTGTTGAAGATTTCTATAAAGTGTCCCTCATCCCTTCCTCATATGATGCTGACTAATGGATACAGACCAAAGTCTTTTGCTAGGGATACTTAGACATCAGGCAGGCATAGGTACACACACAGCAACAGTAACAGTCACAGGCACAGGACACAGACACAAGCACAGACAGGCCGGGAACTATAACGGCAGACAGATGAGAGACACAGGGAGAGAAGTGGAAAAGTCAAACTTGGGCTCGCTTCTGGTCAAATCAATCCCAGGGAGAAGTGCCAACCTTTCTTTCCTTAAACACCAATGTATTTTGGTGCCTTTGCTGTTTTTAATGCATTTACCTGATGCAGGTATCCATAAAATTCCTTGGAGCTTGTGCTTTTAGATGGTCATAGGTCCTGGTCTGAATCTTTGCTTCCCTATTCAGCATGGACTGAAGTGATGCTTTATGAGATAATGGAGTGGTTTATGGGGAAAGTGTAGGGGTTCTGCAAGGAGGTGTTTTATGCCACATTCTTGGACCCAGTGAGTAAACAGGGAGGACGCTTACCCATGGGTGGATGTTCATCTATGGGAGGATGCTCATCGATGGAAGTATGTTCAATTATGGAGGATGCCCATCCAGGGAGGACGCTTACCCATGGGAAGATGTTCATCTACGGGGGGAGGCTCATCCATGGAAGGATGTTCAATTATGGAGGATGCTTATCCAGGGAGAATGCTCAATTAGGGAAGATGTTCGTGCATGGGGGATGCTCACTGATGACTGTTCAACTAGGGAGAATGCTTACGCAGGAGGGAATGCTCATTTAGGGAGAATTCTCATCAGTGGAAGGATGCTCACCTAGGAGAGGATGCCTGCTCACAGGTGGATTGTCCCCCATGAGAATAGGCTAGTTCACTGGAGGAGGAACATCCAAACCTTCCCACCAGAGGATGCTTTAGACATAAAGTACAAATTGGAATCCACACAAGAACCAGACAGTTATTTCTTCCTGAGTCTTAAGAGATTAATATCCCACTTTTCCGAAAGTGTGAACTAGGACTGCTTGAAATCACGGATAAAAGGACGAGACAAAGCTGCACTGATTAGGTGCCCACCACGTGCCAGCTTTCTCCCCTGTGTCACTAACACCTCCCAGAAGCCTGGTAAGGGAAGAGGCACCAGCGCCATTGTGCTGGTAAAGAACAAAAGAAGATGCCCTTCTGGAGCCCAAGGAACTCAAGAAGCTTGTTCATTCACACGGGAAAAAAGCCTGCATCTTAGCTTTCACTAACGCATAAGGGAAACGTTGCTTCTGCTTTGCTCATGCATGTGGGCCTGAAACAGAACTTTCTCATACCCTGTTGTGAGAGCCTGTTCATGTCCCACATTGCACATGTCTTGCGGTAACTTTTAAACAAGATGGGGTCTTGCTATGTAACCTAGGCAATGTAATTCTCAGGCCTCACTTTCTCCAGTGATCACAGGTGTGTGGAACTAAGCCTGGATTTGCAGTAGCATTTCCTCAATCACTGCTCCGAATTTATTGTGTACATTAGATACATACAGTAAATTAGATGCACATTAGAGCTTCTTGTTTGTTTACAGGAAAGAACAGGCACTGCTTCATCACAAATTGACTTTTAAAAACACTGTTGTATTTTCAATATAATTGACTTTAATACTTTGTATTTTCTCCAATGAGTTCAAAACCATTATATTGAGATGGGGTTTGTAGATTCCATACTGCCAACGGGGTCAGATCACAAAGACTGGAAACTGGCAAAATAGGGGTGTGAGGAAGGCCAAAAGCTTAGTGGGGAGGTCTAAACTGGTAAAGTTCAGACTTGAATTCAGGTCTGGGTAACTGACTACCACAGCTACAGAGCAGACAAGAAGAAAGGGAAACAGAAGAGAGGACACCTCTTAGTGTAATCAAGTCTCATTGAGCTCAGATGATCATCTGAAAAGGCAGAAGTAGGAGGTGCCTGAAAGGGACAGGGAGGTAGATTTTTTACCACCTTTAAATGGCATACTTCACAGAGGAGAATTCTCACAACACAAAACTCAGCCATGAGCATGAAAGAGAGATTACTACATGCAACACTCTAGCTGCAGCTCACAATTTAATGTTGAGCAAATTAAACCAGAAACGGGAGCACCCATGCTGTCTGATTCTAGCTAAGTTCAGGAACTGGTAGAAGGAAGTCACGGCGAGAGGATAAGAGCAGTGGCTGTAGCCATCAAAACTCAAATAATACTGGTGGACACGTCTGCAATCCCAGCACTCTGGAGGCTGAGGCAGGAGAATTGTGAGCTTAAGTCAGCCTAAACTACATTGTGATATCTTATTTTAATTCTGCTTTTGCAAACAAATATTTACATCCTGTGATTTTCATGATCTATATGCAATACAGAAGTTATTTGCATCATCTTAAAGATGGACCAATAAGGCTAGAAAGAAATTAAACAAAGAGGTCTCTTTACTGAGGGAAATGGATGGAGGGTAGCTATACTTGACCCAATCAGTGGCTTCACTCAAACCCCTCTAAATTACAGCCCGTCTCATGCAGAATAAAATCGAACCTTTCCCTTGTCCCACAGATAAGAGTTAACAATAGTGGTAGTACCACAATGCATCACTCTTCAACAGCCAAGATAAACTACATACATTCAATGTGGTCAAATTCACAAATGAAAATTTCCACATAAGAATATATGTATATACACACATATATGTATGTGAAAGAGAACATAATGTAGGTTCCATTCATATTAAATATAGAATAGGCAAATCAAACGATGGAGTTAGAATAGTGATTGCTTGGCCTAGTGGTGGTGGCGCACACCTTTAATCCCAGCACTTGGGAGACAGAGACAGGCAGATCTCTGTGAGTTAGAGGCCAGCCTGGTCTGTAACTTTGGAATCCTGTCTTGAAAAGCAAAAACAAAGACAAACAAACAAACAAGACTAGTGATTTAGTGAATGCTCTTGGGGAGATGATGATGGAAGAGATTTGAAAGGTGCCTCTGGGACATTAGTCATGTTTTATTACTGATCTGCATGGTTGCTATATTGGCTGATTAACCCGTGTACTGAAAAATAATGCTATAAACTATGGGAATAGTTACAGCACAGGTTCTGAGTTGAGTTGCACAACTGTCTTCTGGAGTTGTGCACCTCCATAGCTTTTCCCAGAAACTGATTGTCTCAAATGAAGCCCAGCATGGTTCCTGTCATGGAGAGGGAACCTGGGGTTATCAGCAACGGGGACATCTTCCACATGTGGCAGAAGTACGGCCCCTACTTACTCAGGGTTCTGGACGGAGCCTCCCACACAGTGGAATCTCTCAGGGACAGTTTTCCAGTCTTTAGCCATTTTCACCATGGCACCTGCATCAAGGACACCGTAGCCAAAGAGGTGATTAAATTCCAGGCCAACCCCATTCCGTCGCCATTGATGGACTTCATCATGGAGCTGGTTCCGCTTGGAGGTGAGCACAGTCAAATGCTGCATGTCTCTCCAGGTCAGATCCAGGCTGTGACAGAGTACAGAGTGAGAAAGGAGATCAGAGTGAGAAAGAAGCAGGATATAAGATTAACTCAGAAACTCTGTAGCCCTCTACACAGATGATAAATGGACTGAGAAAGAAATCAGAGAAACATCACCCTTCACAATAGCTACAAATAGCATAAAATTTCTTGGAGCAACTCTAACCAAACAAGTGGAAGACATGTATGACAAGAACTTTAAATCTTTGAAGAAAGAAATTGAAGAAGACACCAGAAAATGGAAAGATCTCCCATGCCCTTGGGTAGGTAGAATTAAGATAGTAAAAATGGCAATCTTACCTAAAGCAATGTACAGATTCAATGCAATGTCCATCAAAATCCCAGAAAAATTCCTCACAGACCTCAAAAGAACAGTACTCAATCCAGGATAGCCAAAACAGTCCTGTGCTATAAAGGAACTTATGGAGGCATCACAACCCCTGATTTCAAACTCTACTACAGAGCTACAGTTCTGAAAACAGCCTGGTATTGGCATAAAAACAGACAGGAGGACCAATGGAACTGAATCGAAAATCCAGATATTAATTCACACACCTATGGAAATCTGATTTTTGACAGAAAAGCAATAGTTTATATTTAGGAATACATATGTACATATGCATGCAACGATAATGGAAAAAGAGGTCATGTATTTGGAGGAGAGAGGGGTGTATGAGAAGGTTTGGAGGGAGGAAAAGGAAGGGGAGAGATAGTATAATTATATTCTAACCTCAAAATTAAAAAAAATAAAAGGAAAAACTAGACCTCGGTTTTATTCAGAATGGCTACATGCTCAGTGACAGCACATTTATCAGCCTCCTTTGAAGCATGGGGTGGTCTTGTGACTAGGGCTGGCCAATGAGAAATAAGTAGCAGCTCTGGGTGGGGGTTCTTGGGAAGTTCATGTAGTAGGCATGCGTGCTCAAAGAATGGTGATTGCTCAGTGCAGAACCATGCATTTCCTTAGGATTCCAGTAGGCTCATCCCTCCTCACTCCAGCTTACTGAGACTGCCCAGTTTGTGTGTGTAGGGCCCAGGCTAGTGGCATTTTGCTCACCCAAATTCCAAGGAACAGAGTTAAGGCTTGTCCATAGAGGTTGAAAGGCTGAAGAGAGACACTTATTTGGGCTTGCAGCCGAGTGAGTAAAGGCAGATTAGACCCCACGACTGAGGTGCAATCATGAGATTACATATACACATCACATGAGATTACACACTACAATGCAGGTATTGGGAGACACTAAGCTTTCTTTAGCAAAAGCAGGCAACAGTTTCCAGAGTTGATGGTCCTGTGGACCTGTTTGGACAGGATTAACCTCCACCAGAGTACTACTCCTCAGGTAGGCTGACATCTGAACACTACCTGTCACCTCCTGAAACTCTCATGGCCCTCAACAGGAACATACTTAGCCTCCAGCGCCAGGGCGAACACGCCAGCTGCCTCAGGAGCGGCTGCAGATGTCCCAGAATGTCTCAGAGTACAGTTGCCGTACAAGTCTGTGGTGGCCTGGAAAAGAGGATGTTGAGTAATGAATGAACAAGCCACACTGTTTGAGCCCTAGATGCTGAGGATCACGGTAGTATCGATTTTAAGCCGTTCTGAAGAATCAATGGTCAGTGGTGCGTTGAGTTGCACTGAGCTTGGCTTTTGGACTCATCATCATGAGTTCATCCTAAGATATCATGACCTGCATCAGCATTTCATTTCTCTTCCGGAAGGAGAAGGTGGGATTCCCAAAGTGGGAAGACTTAAGTTTCCGGAGACAGGGCAAGTTATTCTACCTGGAAAGGGCAGGTCATCTAAAACAAACATTCCTTTCTACCTAAAACTTACGAAGGTATTCTGAGACATGCCAAGAAACCCTGGTGTGTGCTGGTTTCCTCCTCAGCTTCAGTTAGGGGATACCATGTATCCCCTAAATAAAGTGTTAGGGGTTAATAGAGTGTTAAAGGACTTTTCAATGAGAACACTTTCATTTTCATATCTGTGAGAACTGGGTTTTCATTGAGATCATGTATAAAACACAGAAATTCTTCTCCCTACACAGGGTTCTCAGGAGAGCTTATTATTTTAGGGAGGGTTAAAGGTGGTCTATTGGGAAAATTACAATATTCAAAAGAAGGGCCCTTCCCAAGCCAAGTACAGAGAGTGTCATAGATGAGGGCTGACAACAAAAATCCTATCACTTGGGGCCTCTGGATAGGGACTGGGCTCCCAGAGGGTGGAATAAGGTACCACAAACAGAACAGGATCGAAGTTGCCCTCCATTGTTCCTTTCTGCTAGGCTCTGGATGGATCATAGGGGCTGAAGTCTTATTCTCTAACCTCAAAAAGCCACCCAGGAGGGCCACAGAGGGATGATGGGTAGTTGTTAAGGGCAGCATCTCTTGTAGCCAAAAGTTCTTTCCCTCTTTGCTCATTTGTAAGACTGACTGTTTGGCCTAAAACATAATATGAGGGAATCAGACTTTTTTCCCTGAGTAAATACACAGCTGGACTCACCTTTAGGAGGGCTAAGGAGCCACAGAAGTCCACCCATGGATATTATTATTATTATTATTATTATTATTATTATTATTATTATTATTATTTTGCTGTATTGGTGATCCAACCCAGCGCTGAATATATGCTAAGGCAAGAATTCTACCCCTTGCAGCCTCATTCCTAGCCTGGTGGTGTTTCTAGCTGCTATAATGCAGGGGTGCTTTCTTAGTGCTTGTGGCTTGATGTGATGTCTCAGTTCTCACAGTTATTCCTCTCCTTGTAAGTGACATGCCGGGAAACCTATTGGTAAACCAGAGCTCCTCATTACTTGCATGCCAAAGCAAGATGCCACACCAGGAAGTCTACAGAAAATGAACTGGAAAAGGTTTGCCGCAGGATCTTATTTCCCACCCGCAGAGGGTCGGTCTCCATCTTGGTTAAGCTCCTTGTCAACAAGACAAGGAGAAATTGGATGTTCTCCTTAGAAGCTGTGCTAACTTATAAAGAGAAGGGAGTGCGGTTGAGAGATCAGTCTGTCACAGGGGGCCCCTGGCACTAACGAACCAGACCGGAAGTAGCTTGCACGTACCACGCCAGCCTCGGGATTCCTCTTCCTCCCATTGCTGAAGGTGGATGCCAAGGTGGAAGAACAGCTCTCGTCGTACAAGGCGGTCCTGCCGTCGTTGATGGCTGAGTTGATGGAGATCGTCCACATGCTTGATGCATAACCATCGCAATTGCAGTCGTCATAGCTGCCGCCATCCCCGGAAGCCCACACGTAGATGCTGCCTTTTCCCCCACGGCCCTGGTAGAGCAAGGAAGATGTGGCACCAAGTCCCAACATTGAGCAAACGGGAGCAGCGGGGTCCTGGCCTGGGGCTAGGGGTTAGGGGAGGGTTTCCTTTCCTGGTAAGATCCTGGTCTAGGGAGGGTCAGGATTTAAGCCAATGCTTGTGTGCAATCAAATACCGAAGCTTCATTTTATCTGGGCTGGAAACTCACATCAGGTGGGAAATAGTAGAAATGATCTCCGCCCGAAGAATGATAAATATAAGCTCACGAGAATTTGTAATTTTAGCTGAGACTAACAGGTTAACAAAGGTTAGAGGCATTGCTTTAAAAATTTACCCATAAACGTATTTTTAAAAAGCCTTAAAATATGCCAGTGAACTGATTTTCAAAATGCCTCAAAGGTAGTACATGCTCATTATAAAAAGTATCAAAGTATATAGAAAAGAAAAGTTAAAATCCCCGAGGGGCAATCATTGTGATCTTATTCTTATATGCAAGTGTTCAGAGAAATTTAAGTGTACATGTCTATGCTTATATTAAACTACATAAGTTGTATATGTAGATATAAAAACGAAGTATATGTTTAACCAGTATGATATAAAATCTTACATATGTGTATATAGCTTTAAAAAATCCAGTTGGCTAATAAGAGAATCCTATAGGAAATGATACATGCCATTTGACCTGGGCAAGGGACCAACTCTAGGAATAAAGCCTAATGTAAGGAAGTAACACAATAGCCAATGAAATCTGAGCTCCACAGGGTAGCACTGTAGTTATCCCACTTGGCCATCATCAGTTTCAGAAGATAAACTGGTTATTAGTGACTCAAGTCAGTATTGCTCCTGTCCAGTCTCTGCCCTTAGTATTTTATCTTATTTATCTTTCCCTGCCTCTATGAGTAGTCTCCTTCCTGTCTGCCTTAACCAGGATTAGGCATTTGTTGGTTGCTTTCTCCTCTGTTGTTGTGGAGGCAGTGGAACTGGGTGGGGAGTGGAGAGGAGGGTAGCCATGCAGTGTGGGAAGTGATGGGCAGGTGTACAAGTTCCTCTTTCTCCACAACTTTGTTCAGAGTGGCTGGGAAACCCTCTGAAGCAGTGGTTCTCAACCTGTGGGTCTTGACCTCATGGGAGGGGTGTCACATATCAGATATTCTGCATATCAGATATTTACATTGCAATTCATAACAGTAGCAAAATTACAGCTATGACATACCAATGAAAATAATTTTATGGTTAAGGTCACCACAACAGGAGGAACTGTATTAAAGGATTGCAGCATTAGGAAGGTTGAGAACCACTGCTCTAAAGGAAGGGGTGGAAGAGAGGAGAAAAGGGGGAGGGAGAGGGAGGAAAGAAGAAAAGAAAGAAAGAAAGAAAAGGGGTGGGGGAAGGCAGAGAAAACCCCTGTGTGGCCACCAGGGGTCTGTGGTTCTGATTCAGTGGTTTAAGGTGGAGATAATCATTAGAAAACGAGGGACCGGATCACCTCCAAGGTCTATGTGCCTCTTGACAAGGAGAAGTGGCATTCTGAATTCCTTCTAACAGGACCAGGAACTAATTAGCCCGTGACTGAGTTGATAAGTTCACTAATAATTGTTTGACCACAAACTGGGAATTGTCTTCAGATTCTTGGTAAATCTATACTGCTGAAAGCCTCCATCAAAATAAGCAACTGCTCTTGGAAATCAGGGCGAAGAGGAAACAGATGGTTTCTGATGTTGACACATTCTCAGGTTCAGATTTGGGTGTGATACCTGGATAACCCTTCCTTGCAAGTCCCTGAGCAGGCTGCCAGTGAGTGAAGAGAGAAGCATCCTTGATATAAGGAAGCACCTTAGTGTGAAGGGTGTGTCACTGTGACCTCTGCTTGCATAATTCCATGTATCAATACCCTTTGTAATATGATTTTGCAGCTTTGTCTAAGAAGAGAAGGGTGTCTCTTTCCTACTTGGATCCTGACTGACTTCATGTCTTGATCTGACCATCAAAATGTGAGAGATATCAAGCAGGAAAAGATTCTGAACACAAGACTTAAGGAACCTTCTACATCCCTGCTATGCCTTGGAACTTGGTTATACAGGGCAATGAATCTGACATAGCCTGTCAAGAAGGCAGTCAAATTTATGGCCCCAGCTGATGGTCAATTCAAAAGCTTCCTTAGACCAGCCAGTCACTAGCTTGCCTTTCACAAATGCATGAATAAGGATGTAAGAGGGGGCTGGGTTGCAGAGCAGCTGCTACTGAATGGAAGTGAAGGCCTTGTTTTGTAGCTCACCTTGTGCGTAGCCTTGAACTCACAGAATCCCTCCTGCCCCAGCCTCTCAAATGCTGGAGTCACACGTGCGCCCTACCACGTCTGGTTTTCACCTTGACGTCTTATGATGTTAGCATGCTTTAAAGAATTATTTAGCTTTTTATTGTAAAAATTACATGCAACATAGAACAATTGAAATGCATAGACGGTGGAGCGGAAAATAGAAATTCTTTATAACCTGTGAATAAGTGATTCCTAGCGTGATTCTGTGGTTCCTGACAGCTTTATATAGAGTGGCAAAGCATTAGTCTAGCTTCCGCAATGGACCTGGGATAATAAAATAGATTCACTTTACTTGACCTGCTTAAAAATGTGGTTTTTACTATTATATAATTAACATTTGTTCATGTGATTAAGGCTCTTTTATATTATGCTTTATTAGTCTTATTAAATAGACATTTCACAATTTATTCTCTTTTTTTAGATATACATGGAGAATTATTTATAGTTTTAAAATAATGCCTAATTTTAAAAATGAGCATAATTTCGTCTATGTCTTTTTAACAAAAAATCTCTGTTTACTTAGGTGGAGCTACTAGCAGAAGGAATTTTTGATGAGAAGGAATGCATTTTTGAAGATTCTTCATCCACATAGCTGTATTAATGCTCTTTATGATAACTCTAGTGTCAATGTCTATAAATAATAAATGCCAATATGAACTATTTTTGTTTTTATGGTGCTGGGAATTGACCAGGGTCTTGTACATGCTAGGCAGACCTCTCCTTCCTGACTGGGGTTCACGTGGCCCAGGCAGGCTTTGAACTCCTTTGGTCGCTGAAAATGACCGTGAACCCCTTGATCCTATACCCTCTGCCTTCTTCCACTTCTTTTTTTGTCCCTGATAAGAAGGGAAGAATTGTAATAGTGTGTGAACCATTTCAAAGGCTGGGTTGCAGGCTTTAGGCCAAGCATCCTTTGGGCTTCAGAGGCTAAATCAGGACTGGTGTCCCTGAGTGCTCTGGCCAGGAGGCATCCATCACCTACCGAGGCCCTGGTACTGCTGCCACTGTATCTGACCCACACTCTGATTAGATTTCATCAAGCAGCTCCAGGGCTTTGCCTGACCCACACCTGATTAATCACTTTCTCCTCAGTCAGCCCTCTACTCCCTCATCTTGGGTGGTGGTGTTTGAGTCACTCTCTTGCAAGAGGCTCATCATCTTCATGCATTCTAGTGCAGAAACCTGACACTTGTGCCATGCCCTCCGTCCTTCCATCCTCCGTCTGCCCCAAGGACAATCTATCAGCCCGCAGTCTCATCAGGACCACAGAGAATTCCTGCAGCTTGTCTTTAACTACTCATAACTTCTTGGCTCTCTTTAGCAGATGTCCTGAAAAGAGATTAATAAGGGACTGGAATATAGCCATTAGAGCCAGCCCAGATGTTCCAGGCTGTCCTGGGTGTCTCTGTTCCCTTTATGCAGGAGAAGAGCATCATGAGTCCTCTGTCATTATCAAGGTTCTCTCATGCTGTCCGAATTCTTCTTCTGAGTGGCAGAGCAAAAGAAGGTGTGGGAAGATGAGATTCCGTGTTCTCTGGTGGCTTGTCTGTTGCCTCATCCTTCTCCTCACAGTGGCCATATTTGTCCATTCACGCAGTGAATGTATGCTCTCCAGAGCTCTGTCTCTAACTAGATTGCTCCTGTGACTGTAACAGATGGCAGACGGTGTCATCCCAGATCCTTTGGTTTTCAGAACCTCTTGTGCTTGGGAATTTCCAAATGCCAACGTGGGCATCTCTTTGTCTTAGTGCTGTTTCCCAAGAGGCCGAAGGCTTCTCTGTGTGCCTGCCCTCCAACTTGGACTACTAGAACTGTCACCCCCAGGAGCAAATCTCATCCATTGGTTTCTGTCTTAGCTCCCTTGCACCCGATCAGTATAGTTTTACTGTATCTACAGGTATTTCTGGTAATCTACGATTTTCATTGCTTATGGGGTAGCTGGCTTGAGCACACAGCCTGAGCTGGTCCCTTCTGGTTCTCATCACACAGCCATACTTACTCCTGGTGCTACCTTTGCCTCCAAAATAGCATCAACTCAAATATCGAACTTGAGCTGAACACAAGCTCAGCTCAGATCTCAAATTCAAGCCTTGTCTCAGGGTTTGTTTTCGGGAGATCTCAAAGTAAAGACTGTGTCCCAGTTCGGTTTCTATTGCTGTGATAAAACATCATGAACAAAAGCAATGAGGGGAGGAAAGAGTTTGTTCAGCTTATAGTTTATTATAGTCCAGTCTCCGGAGAAGCCAGGGCAGGAGCTTAAAGCAGGGACCTGGAGGCCATGGAGGAGGGCTGCTTCCTGGCTTGCTCTCCGTGAGTTGCTCAGGCTGCTTTTGTAGAGCACCTACAATGGGCTGGGCCCTCCCATCAGTCACTAATTAAGAAGATGCCGCACAGGCCTTCCTTCCAGTCTGGAGAGGGGGCGTGTTTTCTTGATTGAAGTTCTCTCTTCCTTAAAGACTCAAGCTCATGTCAAGGTGACATAAACTCACCAGCACAGGTAGAGCTTAGTTACTGGCCACCTCATCATTCAGGATCTCTGTTATCAATTCCCTGGTGTACTGTGGAGAATGCCTTAACTCTAAACCGAACATAAATACTACCAAGTTAAAGAGGCAAGACTGCCATATGGCACGGGCAGGGGGAACGATTTCTTCTTTTCCTTGAGCATGCAGCCTGAGCTGGTCCCTGCTGGTTCTCATCACATGGCCAGACTCACTCCTGGTGCTACCCTTGCCTCCCCTGTGGGGGATCAAACCCAGAGAACTATGCATGTCTGGAGGACATTTGAGCACCGACACAGGTTGTCCGTTCCCTTCTTTCCATCTTGCCTGTTCTTTCAGAAAACTTACAAGAGGCAAACCGACATTTCTAAAGATCCGGATAAATGAGGTTTATGTGTGAAGCGGGTTAGGCACTTGGGAATGGTAAAATCTATGGCAAACAGGGTGCCCACTGTTAAGGCTCTCTTACCCACTTCTTCATTTTCCTCCTCATTTTTATTGTTATTATATTGGACAAGCAAAACCTATCTGCAGGGTGTTAATATTAAAGGGCAAATGTAAGAGTTGCCACTGTGTGTAGGGGTCAGACTTCCGTGTGTGAATGGACATCGTCTCTCCCAGGCGGGTTTGTCTTTAGAGTAAACCAGATAGCTGCCCGGATGAGAAGCCCTTCGCTGCTGTATAGTATGCTGCCACTTACAGAATTCTCCAAACTGTCTAAAAAGTGTGATCTTGAAACAAAGCCTTGTTCCCACAGCTTGGGGAGAAGCCAGATGACAGGACATGTCTTCCCCACCTCGCCGTGCGCTTTCCTCGGCAAAATATTTGCATGCTGTTGTTGGAAGATAAGTCATGAAGATTTTTCTCTTGCTTTTTAGCAACCTTGGATGTTTTGCAAAGCACTGCACTTGAAAATGCCTTTCAGGTGGAGACAAGGAGGTTACAGATGGAGCGGAGAGAGTAATCCAGCTCTGAGATGTGACATTCGGAAGCACATGAAATGACAGGAGCCACCCAGGGATGCCTTGTTTCAAATGCATCTGCATTGCAAATGTGGCCAGAGGGCACTTGTCACTTACTTGCCTGATCCTTCCAGCTTCAGGTGCCAAAATGTACCATGTCTGCTGGATAAATGGACACCTGCCAAATACCCCCTAGGTTCTTACTGTCTGGCCCTGGGTTGGATGTCTGCTTTTTTTTTCAACCATGCGGAGAGTCACATGTTAAGAAAGCAAGCTGATGATGTGTCAAGATTCCCAGCCTTGAGTATGTGAAGCAGAGCAGCGACACCACCTTCTCCAACCAGGTCCCATTGGTAGGTCTTCGGCTTGTGCCGTTCTAATGCTAGGGTCTTCCACACGGATTCGGATTGGCTCAGTGTCAACAGCAGATTGCCACAAACCTTGGAACAGGACATTTTGCTAGTTTCCCACCAGGCCCCACCCAAGTGTAGGATGTTTAGTTAAAGACACAAAGCTGTTCACTTTCAGGACTTTGTGTTTCTTAAAACTTGTATTGAATGTAAGGGAGACAACTCTTCTGTAGAGTGAGGTCATGGCTTACTTAGCAAAGCTGTCCTCCATGGCCACAGGATGGAAAACCTGTCATTTTGCAGAAACACGTGACTCAGGGTTTCAGGTGCTTTTATTCCAGTCCTATCCCCCGAAGGGAACTTTCAGCCTCACTAGGACAAGGCTGTTGCTATTTACAGGGCGGGCGTGGAGTATAAACTTCTAAGACAGAAGAAAACCAATGAGGTGTTGGTGAACAACACATTCTCTGGAAGGAAGTCAAAGCTCTATTTGTCAGTTTCCATCCCTGATTTCAAGCTCTCAGTGTGACATCATCAGGAGCAGCTCCATCATGGCACTGACCATGCAGGGACACTTCTATCATTAAGATTAACCCCCCCCGAAGTCACATATCCACTTTGACAATTCTACTGGTGTCATTCTTGGTCAGCTCATGTTTAGGCAGTCATGTTGGTGAGACTTTGTGGCTTCTAATGTTACTAGGTGACGTAATCTCACAGCAAACTCCCTGATCCTCCAGCTCTCACAACCTTTCCTGCCCCTCTTCCACACTGATCTCTGAACTGTAGATGTGGGAGTGTTTTGTAGACATGTCCCTCAGGACTAGTCTCCTCAACTCTGTATTTGGATTGGTTGTGGTTTTCTGTGAATTTTTCTAGTGCTTGTTCTTGAACTATGGTACAGAATGAAGGAAGACGGTCTTTTGAATTTGCAAAAGAGAAGAAAAAAAATACTGTCATAGGACCAGTGATTGACCATCCTGCCTATGAAGGAGAGAGCCAGGGGATATCAAGGTGACCTGGAATAGTGACCAGGTCTTTCCACAGTTACAGAGTCTGGCTAAGTCCCTTTCTGAAGCCTTTCTAAGATTGGAAGGGTGCATGAATTTTCTAGCACTACCATAACAAAGTACTACAAATCGCGTGTTCTAAACAGCAGAAATTAATTGCCGAGCTGCCCTGGAATCCCCTGGAATTTCATTGTTTGAGACTGAAGTGTCGACTGAATCTCCCCTCCCCCCAGACCTTGGAAGAAGGCTCTCAGGCATCCTCCTCAGTCTCTGGTGATTTCCTGACATCTTGGTATTCCTTGGCTTGCACATGGGTCCTGGGACCTTTGTCTTCATTTGTGCAACATTCTCCCTCTGAGCATGTCTGTGGGCAAACACTATCATTTTAATTAATAACTAAGGATTTTTATCCTTATTATACTGGCTTAGGGGCCTGACCCACTCAACACGCCTTCATCTTAACTAATTATTTCTTCAATGACCTGAATCTCAAATTAGGCTATATTCTGAAGTCAAGACTTCAAGAGGACAAATGGGGCACACTATTCAACCCTGTTACAGAGTGACATATGGTCTTATAATTCTGTTCAGATCTTTGGCAGAATTCAACAGTACACGAGAGATTTCTCCATTAGAGGGTGGGGGAGGCCGAATATCCACCTTGTGAGATGTCCCAAGAAGAAGAGAAAAAGAAGGTGTTAGAAATGTCACCGTCCTGAGTCTTTCAGACAGAACCACATTAAATTTGAAACCTAGGCTTGGGGAGGATGTGTCTCCTAATCTGGGGCCAAGGTTTCCCTGAGAACAGTGGGGACAAGTGGAACAGAGGCTGCCAGGCTGTGACAAGAGAGGATGGGAAGGGGTCTTTCCACTACCTGAACACATGTCCCAAGGAAGACCAAGGGACTGAAGAGAAGGAGTTCCGAAACCAGAGAAAACAGGGATGAGGTGGCCTAGCATCTAGGTGGCAGAGCCCTAGTGTGGGTTTCCGTACATCTCACAGCTATCTGGGATCCAGGAGGCTTAACTCCTCCTCAGCTGCGTGAGGACCTGCCTGAATCGCCCCATTGCTCCTGTCACTCCTGCCTCCTCAAAAGATGTCCTTTGGCTCAGCTACCTGGATGTCTGTTCCCGTGGCATAGAGATTAAGCAGGACATACAGCTTGGTCACCAGACATCTATAAGACACTGTCACTCCCAGAATGTAAGCTGTTGTCGTGCCCTTTCTGTTTAGCGTGGGTGTTTAAGGTGCTATTTTAGGGTCTTAGTATCTCAGGGTTATGAGACATGGAGTTCCAAGTCATTGATAGCAGCACTCCTCTGCCCTTGAGAGAATCTTGTTAAAATGAAGTCTTGGCCACAGCAGGCAGGCTTGGCTGAGCCATGGCATTTCCCACTACTTTTCTCCCCAAGGCTTGCCAGTGGCCATGCTTGAAGTTCAGCGATGCAAAAACAGCTTGTGAAGATGGTCTGGGAACCGATGCTCAAATCACAAATATTGTGGTATTTCAGGCCCCAGCAATCCAAAGAAGAGTCAGGGTACCCCTAATGTGCCCTCTCTGAATTCTTGATCCATGGGACCCACAATATCTACAGAGGCTGTGTTCATGCCATGAAGTCTTAGGGTAGTTGACAAAGGGTCAGCGGTGCATGGGACTGTGGGCATTTGATCACATTGTACCAAATTTACATCTCATAATGATTCCAATCCCTTGAAGGATTCCACATATGACTGTTCTCTAGGCAACAAAACAGGACAGGCTGGGTGCAATCACTTGCTGATAGGTTCTCAGGTACAAGGGACTGGAATGGGGTCTTGGCCCAGGAGTGCTTTGCTCCGTGAACCTGACTTGTGTCCTGTCTAGGTGACCCCTGTCCTGTAATATGAGGCAGCATTGTTTCGTTAACTATGAAGCTGTGTCTCCCAGTTGCCCTCCCATTGGAGGCTCCAACTTGGTGCCTTCTCTTCGGCCCTGTCCATTGCTGAGCTAGTTCAGGAATCAATGGCCACAAAATTCATTGCTCAGACCTCCTACCATAGAAGCACTGGGGCTTTTCTTGGAAGCTGCTGCCCCTGGATCCGCCATCGAGTGTGGGCTGAGACACTGCCACCGGCAGCTTGTAGACTGCTTCTGACTTTCCACTGAGCATGCCACAAAGAGGCCAGTGCTGGTCCATTTCTGGCATGCATGGGTGACTTCGCATGAAGACAACCTGACAGCTCAGCAGAAACTCTTTCAGAGTAGGATGACAGTCTCAGAGTCTTGTACAAATTTCCTCCTCTGTCCCCATCACACAGGTCAGGCCTTGTTCCTGACTAACCTTTTCTGATGCCATTGCTTCTCACTCACATATGATTTCTTGGAATTCCCTCCCATGCACCTCTTGCATGGCTAAACCCTACTTTCCACAGGATTTAAATGGACCTGCAGAGTTAGAGACCCACTTCAACCACACCCTGCCACTTTGTCCACTGTATTGTCACCACTAGTTTATCCTCTGTGTCCTACCTCATGTATGGCCTGGAGCCTTGTGGGGACAGGCGTTTCTTTACCTTGTTCACACCGTCAGCCATGGCCTGGAGTGTGAGCTCCCGGGGTCCATCCACCGTCTTCCCATTGTCTGTGGGGCCCCAGCTGGCACTGTAGATATCTATCATTTGAGGCATGTGACTGATAGAGGAGGCCTCGATGATGTCTGTCATAAAAGGCTGGTCCAGCATCCGGATACCTGGGCACAGGGTGAACAGAGAAACAAGACGTTGTTGATACCTCAGCTCTCAGAAGACGTGGGGGTAGAGAAAAGCTTGGGTCCTGGGAGGACATGGGGACCTTCATGGAGTCTGAGGGTCAAAATGGTACTCAGATCACCCTACCCACTTTTTTCCAGACCTTACTCATGTCTATTTTATATTAATTTTATTGAGCTCTACATTTTTTTTCTGTTCCCCTACTTCTCTCCCCTCTCCTTCAACTTTCTCCCATGGTCCCTATGCTTCCAATTTACTCAGGAGGTCTTGTCTTTTTCTACTTCCCATGTAGATTAGATCCATGTATATCTCTTTTATGGTCCTCATTGTTGTCTAGGTTCTGTGGGATTGTGATTTGTAGGCTGGTTTTCTTTGCTTTATGTCTAAAAGCCACTTATGAGTGAGTACACATGATAATTGTCTTTCTGGATGTGGGTTACCTCACTCAATATGATGTTTTCTAGACCCATTCATTTGCCTGCAAATTTCAAAATGTCGTTATTTTTTTCTGCTGTGTAGTACTCCATTGTGTAAATGTACCACAGTTTCCTTATCCATTCTTTGGTCGAGGGGCATTTAGGTTGTTTCCAGGTTCTGGCTATGACAAACAATGCTGCTATGAACATAGTTGAGCACATGTCTTTGTGGTACAATTGAGCATCCTTTGAGTATTTACCCATAAGTGGTATTGCTGGTTCTTGAGGAAGGTTGTTTCCTAATATTCTGAGAAATCACCACACTGACATCCAAAAGGGTTGTACCAGCTTGCATTCCCACCAACAATGCAGGAGTGTTCTCTTTACCCCACAACCTCTCCAGCATAAGTTGTCACCAGTGTTTTTGATCTTGGCCATATTTACAGATGTAAGATGAAATCTCAGAGTTGTTTTGATTTGCATTTCTCTGATAGCTAAGGATGCTGAGCATTTCCTTAAGTGTCTTTCAGCCATTTTAGATTCCTCTGTTGAGAGTTCTCTGTTTAGGTCTGTACTCCATTTTTTAAATTGGATTATTTGTTCTTTTGATGATCAATTTCTTGAGTTCCTTGTATATTTTGGAGATCAGACCTCTGTCTGATGTGGGATTAGTGAAGATCTTTTCCCATTCTGTAGGCTGTTGTTTTGTCTTGTTGACCATGTCCTTTGCTTTACAGAAGCTTTTCGGTTTCAGGTGGTCCTATTTATTAATTGTTTCTTTCAGTGTCTGTGCTACTGGGGTTATATTTAGGAAGTGGTCTCCTGTGCCAATGTGTTCAAGTGTACTTCCCACTTTCTCTTCTATGAGGTTGAATGCTTCACTCATGTCTTACTTGAGTAATTATTTGAAGAAAAGAATTATTCTCCAAACAAAATTTATTTGAATTCTTACTGGGGGGACAAGGTGTGAAAGGGCATCCTTACTAAGCCTCTAAGTGGGAAACCCAGCCTCCTACGGTGCAGAATTGACCTTTGTTGATGGGGCCAGGTTTCTAGATGCAGCTGCGACTGGAAGGAAGCGATGGACACTTAGCAAGAAGCTCCAGGGTGCAGAGAGCAGGGGATGGGGGTGGTACAAGAGGTGAGGAACCATCAGCTCATCACAGCTTGGAAGGAATGTGGCGGAGACAGAGATGGAGCAGGTTAGTATAAATGGTCAGCAATGGGGTGCGTGATACACTGGGGTATCTTTGTGAATCTGTTATTCTTTGATGTCTTTTGGGTAACATCCTGCCAGGAGGGAGTAGAGCTTGATGTTCAGGATTGAACTGGGCAAATCAGAGCTGCACACAGGACACAAGGAGAAAGGACAAAGAGGACAAACTCACTCATCAGACCGCCTGGCTGACCCTAGGGCTGCTTCTAAGTTAACTCACCAGCAGCCAGTGAGATGAGCCAGCTGAATCTGGTCTAAACTGCTCTCTGCAAGGCTTTGCCATGTGGGGTATGCCAGCTGCACCCTAGCGTGTTGGGAAGCTGAGCTGGCTTTACCCATGGGAACCACTGTGATCTGAGTGTGCTTCCTAAAGATTTGTGCTGGCTCCTGGATACTCAGCAGTATGAGAGCTGACGGAATTACGTCATTGTGGGAACACTGTTCTCAGAAGGGATTAACGTAGTTCACTTGGGACCTTGTGAATGAGTTGTTAAAACATGAGCAACACCGAGGCTCCTGTTCTCTGACTTTTTTTTTTTTTCATTTTTCAAGACAGAGTTTCTCTGTGTAGCTTTGGTGCCTGTCCTGAAACTAGCTAGCTTTTGTAGACCAGGCTGGCCTTGAACTCACAGAGATCCGTCTGCCTCTGCCTCCCGAGTGCTGGGATTAAAGGCATGCATCACCACTGCGTGGCAAGACTGATGAGTTCTTAAGAATAAATGTCTGCATCTGATGTCATTGCTTTCTTTAGGGTATTTTCTTCTCCAACAGAAACAACAGGTTCAGAAGAATAAGCAGTAATGGCCAAAGATGGTCATTAATCCCTCTGCCTTTGCCTTAACCCTTAAGTCAGGGGACCCATTTATGACAACTAATGTTCAATTATGAATTGGAATCTTTTTGTTGGGACGAAGCTCATTTGGATTAAGAACTGTTCCGAACTTTTTAGAGGTTGCGTTGTAAGAAAGCTTAAAAATACATTTCGCTGTCGACCTATGTCTACTCTGTTTACTTATGAAATGTAGCCTGTGCACAGTGGTGATGCCGGTAATTTGCTTTAAGAAGAATGCTCATGTGCTTTCGGATTCGCTCAGTGCTGGACACCCAGGCCTGGGTTCAATCAGCAAGCCAGTAACAATTTGACACGGAGATCACTGGGCTACAGGATAAACTGAAGAGAAAGTATTTCAAGTGAAATCATTCCTGCATTGTAGGTGGCAAAGAAACAGAGGGACAAACATTTTCTTGTTTTAAGGAGAAAGCTCATATGCTTTTGGATTTACCTGGTACTAATGACCCGGGCTTGAGCAGCCAACCTCACAGAGAAGAAAGGAGAGGTAAATTTAACAATGGTCAAAGTAGCCCTTGCTGTCCCACCAGCTGCCCGATGGCAGCCCTGCACCTTGGATCCTCTTTCTCTTTACGACTGTGGTTCTGGAGGGCCCCTCCTTCTTCATCCTGTCATGCACGCTCTCTGTGCGGAACGGAAATGCAATTGCTGATATGTATTTATTTGACTGCTTCAGCATTGGGAGAGGCAGGGGTGGCCGCAGACCGAGAGCTGAGTTCGTTCATTTTCTTGGGGCCAGACTCCTGGCATTTCTTTTAATTATGTTAACCTCAGGAGGACTGAGGTACACATTTATTGAATAAGATGCAGTATTAATTCTGCAAATGACAGTACTATTAGCGACCAAGACACAGGCTCAGGGTGACCTTAAGGCTTTTTAGGGGGGCAGCATCTTCCCAAAGGCTAGACATGGCCTTGAGTTTTCAGCAGCATTAGGCTGACAAACCAGCAAGTCATGTTGCTGGGAAGGTTCTTTTTTATTTTTGTACATTTACATATTTATGACTGATAGATTTTAAATTTCAGTTTTTTTCCAATCTCCCCCTTTTAGTGTGTGCACGTGAGTGTACCTGTGTGTATGCATGATATCTGCCTGTATAACAACAAGCCTGGGACACCAGTCTTCATGTTTGACAATTACTCTTAGAGCTAACCTGATTGGAACTCTTCCTCCCTCCTTCCTTGGCTATGTGGAGAAACAGTAGTAACAACTGTGTTCTTAAAAATAGATGCTCGAAACCAGAGAGTGCCCAGTTTTTTAGGTGTCCTTTAAGAGGACTTCTGAGGGTCATACAAGCCCCTGAGTGGAAAAAATGAAGACGGAGTTGGTTTCCAGTCATACAGGCTTGCAACTCCATCCCGATTTGGCTTCATCAGTAGAGATAGTTTCCTAAGCAGGACCACCAAGTGCAAAAGAATCTCACAGTTTAATAAGATGTGGTCACTGAGTTTATGTGTCATATAGAGATGCAATAATGCGATATAATTGCAGAGTGCATTGAAGAGCAAAGAGGTTTGCATTGGGTCTGACAGGTAATATGTTGGTTGTTATTATTAGTTTTATAGTTGTCATTATTCAAGTACCCATGGATATTTGGACTGTTAGAGCCTTTCTGAGTACCGATATTTTGAGACCCTGAAAATGAGAACCCAGGAAAAGTCACACACTGTATTTTCAACACCTGAACAGCAGGAGATATTGGCAGATGGTCTTGTAGTCTGTTCTGCCTGGAGGTTCCCAGAGCACTGTGCAAAGGGTCACTAGACGGGCATCTTTGCTACACTCTGGGAAGTTCCCACTGATGTCTGGTACCCAGACATTCCTACAGTATATTTGAGAAGCTAGGAGTGTCTGGAGAAGGCTTCTGATTGCTGGGAACTGATCCGATGTAGGCAAAGTTGCAAAGGTTGATGAATCTGGTATGAGGGCCTCTTTCACCTCCTGGGGTGACACTCCACTGGCTTTGTGCCTTTATGTCCCCAGTCTCTCAATTCTACTGACCTACCCATTCTTTCATGAAGTGATCTTGATATCTTAGTGTGTTTATTCATTGACTCCCTCCCTCCACTTCCTTTTCATTCTTTCCTCATATTCGGAAAATAGGATTTGCACGTAGACTGTGAGCCAGAATCTGATCTGGATTCTGCAGTGCTAATATAAGACCAAGTAGACAGACACTGCCTTTGTGGAGACTGTGGTCAGCAAGGGAAAAGCAGCAGTCACATGGCCATGTGCGACACAGATGGCTTTAGGTGTCAACTTGCCTGATGAAGGAATCCCTTGGGAATTGTCAAAGCATCATTTTGGATGTGTCTTTGAGACTGATTCCAGAAGTGACTGATTGAGCCCAAGTGGCATAAAGGAGCAAGATCTGTCCTCAATGGTAGCAGCCAATCCTAGCCATCCCTTCTAATTCATGCTTCATGAGGTTTTATCTAAGTTGCATTTCCCCAGAGATTGACTCGTATGTGTTTGGGAAGCTAGCATACAACACACAGTATTCACGGGACTGTTAGTGGGTGTTAGCTATTGCACAGACAGTGTTGGGAGTACTGGTCAACTGGAGAAAAATGGAACTGCTAGTCATCTTAGCTCCGCATCTATAGAAGTAGAGTCTGGAGGGACTGGTGGCTTTGTGTCCAAGTTTGCACCGAATGAAACAAACGTATGACCAGTTATTTATGACATTCTGAGAGTGCTTGGCCACCAACAGGAAACATGAGCAAAGTCTATGCACTGAAGAAATGGACAGGCAGGAAGCAAATGAAGAAGCGCTTAATGGTCTCTTTAATCCCTGTCAGAAAATCAATTTTCTATTTCGTAATTTCATTAAGTAGCGGAAGTTGGCTTCCTACTCAAGATGCTTCTGATTCATTCTCTCATGTTCTGGGATAACAGGCCTGTGCCACTAAACTGTGGCAAGTCTTTTTTTTTTTCTTCTGTTCAAGACAGCTTGAATCAAAACCCTCCAAGTGTTCCCACCAGCGCGTCTCCCTAACCTGTCACTGAACATCTCCAGAATGCCACAGACTAGCAATTATCTTAGTTGACCACCAGATGGCGCTTTAGCTCTCCATTGCATAGGAAGTTCCTGAAGGAAAATTCTCGGGAAGAGTTAAAGAGTTAGGTTCATTTTTAGCGAAACACACACACACACACACACACACACACACACACACACACACACACACACACACACACACACACACACACACACACGACAGCGCTTAGAACTGTCATCCTGACTGAGTTAAATATTTTCCCCTCTCAAATTTGTCCTCTTAGGATTATCATGCCATGCTGGTTGTTGTAGTTCATAATAATATTTTTGATGTTATGTAGGCTCTGAGAATCAAGTTCAGGTCCTTGTACTTAAAAGGCAAGCACTTTGCCAATGAAAGTCGCCAGCCCTCCAGATATATTCTTTTGTGAAATTCTGCACCCAATTTCAGGCAGGTGTTTCTGCAAGCACTCTGGAGATAGCTAAGGGTGGGTTCGTAGCGTTCCATTTGCTTTATTTAGGCCCCTAGATATGCAGGTGTCAGCACAAAGTAGGCTTAGGGTTCAATAGGGTGCTAGGAAAGAAATTATCAAGAAAATTGTTAAAAGGAAAGGGGAACAAGAGTAGGCGACTCAGCTTGGACTGAATTAAGAACCAGTTTGACCCAAAACTTAGAGCAATCAGAAAACATTCCGTTCTCAGGCATCTTGTTGAAAACTTCTGAGCCTGTCTGGTTGCTTTTCTCTCTAAATCTCCATCGACTTCCTGCTCCCATTCCTAAAACACTTGTAAAGAGAAACGTATAAAGCATTGGATCCAGCCTTCAAAAAGGTTCCTTAGCATGGATCCTGTCTCCTTAAAGAAGTCATGGATCATGTAAACCAGTTTCCAGGCCACCCGGCATCTTTATAAACAGCCCTCACACACCTCCGTATGCTCTGCAGTCTGTGTGTGACATTGGCACAATACTTTAGAGTAGCGACTTTGCATTCATATCAAGTTGAATACCATTTTCGCTGTCAGAAAACAAGACTGTGATTACTGTTGGGTAGGTATGGGCAACCCCTGGGGACAGGGTCTTGAGGAGGAGGGCTTTGGGATCTGGTTAATTTTGTTGGTTTCATAAAAGACACATTTATGAAAATCCGTTCACATTTGAGTTATGTGCTTGTGACCTGCCTATTTTTTTTTTTTTTGGCGTCTTATGCTTAGGGATATTGAAAGCACTCTGTGTACAGGTGAAGATGAAATGTCTTCCCTATGTTCCCTCCACCTGTGGGTCTCAGAGACCCTGACCAGGGGGATAATTTTGTTGGCCCCTGCAAGAATGGGGATCAGAATGCAGCAGCTCCCAGGGCAGGCTGCCCAGCACAGTGCCTGTCTCTGGCAGGGATGGCTCACCTGCCACCTTGGAGTTGTATGCCACACCGACTCCACAGATATTGTTGCTGGCGGCTGCGGAAACTTCTCCTGCACACCTGGTTCCATGGCTGTGGGGAAAACAGACACAAGTCGGACAAATGGTCACACATTTGTAGGGAATTTCTTTAGCTTAGTCTTTGAGGTTGAGCCCACCAGTGGCCCATCCAGTTTTCTAGTGTTCCACTCTGAAGGTCCCTTTTATTCTCCCCCACTTTCTCCAGTGACATTCCTAACCCTAAGTTGTTTCTATTACAAAGAGAACATTATATTATTAATGTGACAATTCTTCTTTATTTTAAAATTTGAAGTATTTTCCAGTGGAAAGCTCGCAGGTTTCCTTAAAAAATGAAGCACAATATAAAATAGTTGTGCGCTGACTGGTGGTTGGTCAGCTTGGGTTCTTTGGAAGGACTAGGATCCAAGTGTGGGTAGTTACTTTCAAGGGTGTCTCAGCATACAGAACTGAGATACGGCCTCTCAGTGATGGAGTGATGGTCACTCACTGTCATTGAACTAGCTTTCCGCTTTGACATAGCGAAAAACAAAAAAGTACATTCTGGTAGAGTTTTGGATAAGAAGTTAAATGACCCCCGTTTTCAGGTTAGATATGATCCTAGACATAAAAGACTCTAAAGAAGACACCAGAAAACTCTAAGCCAATAAATAAAAATCCAGCAAAGTAGTAGGATGCACAATTAGAATATAAAATCCACTAGCTTTTCTTAGACATCAATGACAAACACACCAAGAGAGGAAATAGGGAAACAATCCCAACAACCAAAACAACAGCAACAACACAACTACAACACCAGCAACAACACAACACAACTACAACAGCAACAACACAACAACAACAGTAGCAACAACAAACCAAGCTCTAAGTTAATTTAACCAAGAAGATAGAATTCTGTATTGAAAACTTTAAAAGCCTGAAGAAACAGGGTCTTACTCTTAGGTTCTGGAAGGTAGTCAATAGGACTGGTAATAACCTGTAATTTTTTTGGGGGGTGGTTATGTAACCCCATTGGTCAACAGGTCAAAAAGAGGTAGCCCATTCCTGGTACTGGGATTTTATTTGGTAGCATATGGAATCTAGTTGAGGTATTATCCCCCCATTATAAGTAAACCCCATTTAAACTTTTGGTCTACAAGAGCTAGTGCCAGGACAGGCTCCAAAGCCACAGAGAAACCCTGTCTCGAAAAACCAAAAAAAAAAAAATAAACTTTTTATACATATACATGCGAGCTGTATGTATTGTTCCATAGACACTTGCTTTTTTTTGTTTGCAAGTGCTTAATTCATAATAGTCAAGAAATGAAATCAGATTATACATTCATCAACTGACAGATGGAGAATGAAAATGTGGTACACACACATTATGGGATTCTATTAGGGTGGGAGGAAAAATAAAATTATGAAAATTTCAGGTAAATGGATGGCTCTGGAAACAATTATATTGAGTGAGTTAACTCAGACACAGAAAGACAAACACTGCGTGTTCTCCTTCATATGTGGTCCCTAGTTTCTAACTTGTAATTTCATGAGCTTAATTGGAGTACCTTTAGGAACCAGGGCATTAGAAAGAGGGTACTGAGAGGAGCTGCCTGGAGAGAGGGTTAGTGGAAAATAGGTAATATAAAAGTAGAGAGGGGGATATTTGGAGTAGAAAGGTTTAAAGGGTTGGACAATAGGGAGACAAAAGGATGGGAGTTAACCAAAATGAAGGGGATACATCACATGTCTCCATTGCTCAAGGCAAACCATCAAGGCAAGAACATTAATTTATTCTATACCAGGGAAACTGACTTAGGCATCACCAAACCCACCCCAAACATTTTGTAGAATATTGTATTTGTGCATCGTAGCAGGGTATATTTCTTCTCTCTTGAGAAAAGGGTTATTGTCACATGAGGACCATAAAATGCCTGTGTGAATTTGCACAAAATTAGCTTTCAAAGTAGAGATGATTATATCAATGTACAGATATTTTACAGTCTTTATAATCTTCTCACTAACTCTCAAATTTGTCTTATGTCTCTTTCTTTAGCTGAAGAGGAAACATTTATGAAGATGAAACATTGTAAAGATGAAGCGGAAACCTTATGAAGTCTAGGTAGAGCACTAGAGACTGTGATGTCATAGCACAAGGACTGTAAATGACCAAGAAAATGGCACTCTGCTGGGCGCTACAAAGTTCTGGCAAAGATCTAAGCTAATATCCACCTACGAGGTTGCCTCGGTGCTCACATGAACACAAGAGTTTGATTAGGTCTTTGAAAATGGTTTGAATGCTATTATCCAGGAGGTGACTTAAAATGAGTCCATAAAGACATAAGAAAAAGATATTCATCTCTTCCTAAGATGCTAAGCATCACCGGGGTAAAGTATAAGTTTACATCAGTGTGGCAGGAGCAAACCAGGGAGGGACATTTCCCTCGCGTGTTCTTCCATGACCTGTTGCATACGGCTCTTTAAAATGAAATATGACATCCAAGAAGGAAAAGAAACCAACCCACTGTCTTTCATATTTGAAGTTTTAACCATGTTATCAATCAAATTGGCTCCCACAGATATGAATGCTTCTCAGCCTACATCTGTCCTCCCTTTCTCTTGACTTGGGCTGTTTGAGTAATAAATGTCTTCTCTCTTCTTGAATTTATAGTAAACTTGCCAGGAACTGTGTCTCATCCAGAATCTCTTCCTCTCTAGGTCTTAATAGAATGCGCAGCACCCTCCCTGCCCCATAAATATTGCCGTTGACAGGGATGACATTTCTGTGACCAGCGCCTGTCAAAGACATGCTATGCAAGAGGGGTTTTTATGGACAACAGCACAGTAATGGAATATAGATCCACAGCGCATCACCAGACAGTCTCTTAAAGCTGAGTGAGGTATAATGGTACCGACCAACTGTGCGCTGCAAACTTTGCGAATAGCAGGCAGCTCTAAAAATGGACAGATGTCAAGGCCACTCAACAGGGTGCCTGAAAAGGTAGGCTACCCATCCATCAACCAGCTAATTGGTGTTGACTGAATGCCAGCCAGGAAAAGAACTGCTGTTAGGTCTGGAAGCCTCCCAGCAAATAAATTCTATCTGTTCTGCACATTATTGATGCCCATTAAATGTATAATATTTTATACCCTTTTTTTGGGAATTTGGGTTATTATTATTTTGTTGGTCCAAATGTCATTCTCTGATTGCAAGTTAGAAGAAAAGAATACTTTGCAAAACTTTCCACCGTGTTTCATGTATATCCCTGGAGCTCAATACTGCATAGAGTTATTGAATGGTCCACGACGAGATGAATATACTACAAAAGGCAGTCGAGCATAGGGCAGGATGTTCTCACATATTGAAAGTGGTGCTGCATATGTATGAAGCTTGTTTTCATAAACAGTCCTTAAATATATTCTATCAGGAATGTGCGCTAGGAGGGAAACGGATTGATCAGTAAGAACAGGCTGTGATAGCATGCTTTAACATGGCTGGGAAAACCCAGGAGGCACGTGCTGCTATTGGAGTAGTTTCCCATCCAAGGAGGACATTTTAGCTGCTTGCTTGAGAGTCCTTTGTTGTATTTTCTTCTTTCCCCAGTAATGGGTTCTTGGAATAGATGGCTCCTGCCACTGCTGATTCCTGTGCAGCAATTGCTCCTGGGATCTAACTAGCCTCTGCGGCAGGCAGCATGATGGAATCAATAGCAGTGTGCTCCTTCTGGGCCCGCAGCGGGCAGCTGTGTTGATGTGGAGCATGCTGCGGTGAGAATTGCTTAAGGGACCAAAGAGCCTGAATGGCAGTGGCACACCAGAGTTGATGCCCATGTCCAGAAAAAGTCACCCAGAGAGGTGATGGCATGTCCCTGCGATGGTACAGCTGGCATGAGGCTTTGGTGGAACAACGGCAGATCTTGGCTGAGCTCAAGGCTCCCACCTCTCTGGGTGACAGCAGTTTTTGAGTTCAATGGGATAGGGACTCTCATAAATGACCCTGGCTCAGTTTCTCACCCAGTCACACAGTCTGTCCTCTTCTTTCTCTTAGCAGCCCGTCTCTCCTCCTCCATGAACCCTTTTTAGGATACTGCTCCCTGCACTACCTCTTCCATCTAGACCAGATGTCCAGGGAACTCCTTGAATGCATCCTGTATATGTATGTCTTCCTTTCATCGTCTTTACTCCTATGTCCAACTCTACCTTTGATTTTCATTTAAGTATTAGACCAATGAGCCCCTCTCTGGTACAAATTTGCCCCTACCATTGTGTGATCTTGTATAAATGATGTTAGCTGTATGTTTAAGGATCATGCTGGTTATTCAGAGACTTAATGGTAATTAACTAAGTTAACACATGCAAAGCATTAAGACTGCCTTAGAGACGGTAACGTTAGTTTAATGCATGTTAGTTTGTTGTGTAAAGTTAGCCTTGAATCCAGCCAGCGTTGTGGTAATTCAAGCATGTGCTTCCTCCTAATGTAATGTGGTAAGCTCCTCAGAAGTTTGCAGAGCAAAATTAAAGCTTTTACAAACTCAACTCCCAGGTCTGTTCTGCTGTAGGAAGTCTTACAGCTAGTGGTTACCTGCCCACGGGGGTGTGGCCTCTTATACTAAACATATATATGCCGATGTAGAGCATGCATCCAGCCTCTCTGTTCTGGTTGCGGGATTCGTTTTCTGATCTCCGTTCAAACAGATGATTCTGATTTGTGAGTCTACCCCTAAGTAAATAACCATCTATTTCTCAATTCTGAGCTAGTGTGGGATTTCTTTTAAGCGTCCATCCACACTGTTCATTGCCTATTTCTATGCCTACTGCATTTTAAGTTTATTTCTCAGATCATGCTATGGTTGGGACAGAAAATGTGTGTTGAAGGCTTGTTTGCCAGCTGACAGCAATTGTTTTTTGGGCTGGGGTGGGATTAAAGAAACCAGGAGGTGAGGTCTAGTTGGAGGAGGTAGTGCTTACACATGGGGGTTAGGTTTACCCTGGCTTTTTCTCATCTCCGCTTCCCGACAGCCATAAGGAAAGCTGCTTCTGCCCCGCTAAACTCCTGCCCCCATGATATTCTGCCTCTCCTGGGGTTTGTGGACTGAAGTCTCCACACCTGTGAGCCCAAATAAAACTTTCCAACTTTTAAATGATCTCACTTGGCTATTGGACCTAATGACAAAAGTCTGACACATACTGGACTAGAAAAGGTGTAAACAAACTGAGCAAATGCAATTTCCAGCTCTCAGCTGTGACAGCAATTAATTCATGACCAGTCTCATTTCCTCAACACCCCAACCTGTCCACCTCCTGCACCAGGTTATAGTAAGCAGTACTGAAGACAGTACCGGACACATTGCTCTTTCATTCTGCAGGGAACTTTTAGTAACATAGCCTACACATGGAGGAAAGACACCCTTTTGACATTCTCTTCATGTCAAGCAGGTGCCAACATTTTGGGCCAAGGCTCCTTATGTGGCGGACTTGAATCTTATCTTTCCATCTGCATCCAATCAATTGCAATCCCTGCTACGTTTGCGAGACTCCAAGTGGAGTCGGGAAGAACCCAATCTTTGCAGCATAAGTTGTAGTGGCGGAAAGTTTTTGAAATGACTTGGCAGTTGGGAAAAAAGTTATTTATTGATCAGAATGGATGGACACTTTGTCTTGAGTCATTGACTTCCTAGGACACAGGCAGTTTGCTTGCCTGACTCACTAGAATTGTGTCTCTGGTAAACTTGTCACTTGGGAATTCTTACTGCTGACAGTGATGGATTTTTGTTACACTAAACACTAATTAGTTTTAATTAGAGGCTCTTAGTCTGTTTAAAATGGAACTTTCAAGAACAAGCTTGCATATGAAAATATTTAAGAGATAAGGCACTTCTATAGAGTTTTTTTTTTTTGTTACTATTCCTACAAGTATCACACAAGAAGGGTTAGCTTGGAGGAGACTGAGTTTATATTCAGGAAAACCTTCTCTATCTGCTTGGGTCAGTTTACCAACACCTAATACCTCTTAGCTACAGAGAGTTAGCATGTGGTCTGCTCTTAGCTACAGAGAGATAGCATGTGGTCTGCTCTTAACTACAGAGAGATAGCATGTGGTCTGCTCTTAGCTACAGAAAGATAGCATGTGGTCGGCTCCAAGTCTTGCCACAGCTCTTTATCATGCTCACGAGAGGACCAGGAGTTGATCAATGCTGGTCAGACCCAGCTCACCCCAGCCTTCCAGATTCCCTGCTAGTTATGTATAAACTCTTGCTTACAGACATTGTCTGGTAACTTTATATCCTTGGGTCTAAAACGGTTCTCTGATAAGGTGCTAGGATGCAGGGTTATATGTCATGGGAATAAGAAAGACTTCATGACCAGAATTCTCAGATCTTATTAGATACATTCTCACCTTACAAAGACGCCCTTCCAAGCACTGCATGGTCATATTCCAGCTGCAAGGACTTGGCAGAGAGTGAATTATGCTACCGCACACTAGTAACCATCTCTTAAAACTGTTATAGAATTGAATTTAATTCTTGTCTTTATTCTCTCTGTATTTCTGAAGTTGTTTAGCCTCTACACCCATGCTCCCTAGCTTGGTAGGAAGCTGACCTAAGACACCTGCTTCATTGATGATATGCCCTGGCCATTCTGGATGTCATACTTCTTGTATAAAAAAAAATGATGCTTATAAAAATGGTGCACATTTGGTCTGGGCATGGTGGTGCATATCCAGAATCCCAGCACTCAGGAGACTGAGGTATGAGGCCTGTTGAAAATTCAAGGTCAGCCTGGAATGCGCAGTAAATTTGAGGACAACCTGGATCACAAATCATGATCCTACTTCAAACCAAAGCAAAAAGGGAAATAAAGCATGACCTGTTATCAGTTTTGACTGAACCCAGTTTTTTTTTTTTTTTTTTTTTTTTTTGGAGACAGGGTTTCTCAGTAGCTATGGAGCCAGTCCCGGAACTCGCTCTGTAGACCAGGCTGGCCTCAAACTCAAAGAGATCTGCTTGCCTCTGCCTCTTGAGTGCTGGGATTAAAGGTATGTACCACCACTGCCTGGATGAACCCGAAATTTTTGATTAGGGAAGTCATTCAGTCTTTTTCGACCTTTACCCTGTCACTAAACTGAAGGAGATACTTCTGTTTTATCTATCGCTTAGGTTGCCACAAGAAGCAAGAGCAACAAGAAAGTGATCTGCGCATGGTGCACTTTTATGCTGTGACTTGAAATTCATATACTTTATGATTCTCACCCAAAGCCAGGGATAATATGTAAGCAGAAGCTCTATTTATGATTTAATTTACTTTAAAATTTAAAATAGTTTATTTTTAACTGATACATAAGATGTAAATATTAATGTTATCATGCAACATGCCCATATATCATATTTAGATTGGGTTTATCATCTCTGTCTCCTCAAAGATTTAACCATTTCACTTTGATGAGGATACTTAAGTTCAAGCTCTAGTTTTCTGAAATACGTAGATACCACCGTCATCTATAGTCACCCTTCTCCGGTAACCCTTACTCATCTCTAACTGTGACTAAGTTCAACCTTTCCCCACGCACCAGGTTTGAAACTTAGAGCATTTTTGGAATAATCCAGACACCCAAATTTCTAAATATTTCTCATATGCAGGCAAGCATATAAGCAAGATGTTTACTTGAAGAAAGGAGAAGCCACATTTATATAGTCAGTAGCAAAATATGATGGAGAAAAATGGTACCCTCAGATGGATCATATGGTCCATATTTCTAACCTCTGTCAATTACACTTTTGTGGGAAGGACTACCTGAGCTGTTATGAGGTTATAGCAGGAATATTTTTAAAAAATATATCAACACCAAACCACCGACAAAATTTTTATTGGAATGGTGTCAGGTATGAGGGTGCATGCCTTTAATCTCAGCAGTCAAGAGGCAGAGGCAGGTAGATTTCAGTGAGTTTGAGGCCAGCCTGGTCTACATAGTGAGTTATAGGCTAGCCAGAGTTATACAGTGAGTCCCTTGTCTCAAAACAAAACAAAACAAAACAAAACAAAACAAAAGTTTCTCTGGAATAGCTTTAATAGGATAAGTGAACTCTTAAATTACTGTAGTAAGTTGAGAAAAGTTTTCTTCTTGCTGTTTTTTCTTATCCATAATAGGTTAGATTGGTAAACCATTTCTAGTTCAATGGAACAAGATGATAATCAAATGATAATTCTTGACGGCCACCGTAATACTAGAAATCCAAGGATCAAGAAATGGAGCCACTATGAAGAAGAACATACATAACATCGTACAGTGTTGGTATGATTTGTCTGGTGACACTCAAGCCATAAACAAAACAGAGCAAAATGAACCCCAATGGCTAACAGTAAAGATGTTCCAAGGCTCAGCTTACCTGTTGAACCAGTCATCTGTGTATCGGGGGTAGGGATAGGGGTCGTTGCTGCTGAAGTCATAACTTGCGTCGGAGTTCTGAAAAACACAAGGGATCTCAGGTCAGTAAAGCTGTAAACACATAAAGGGGGTCCTGGATTTGTGCCTCCTCCTTGGAGGGTTGTGCCAATGCTCTCTCTGCATTTTTGCCTTTTGCACATATTTTTATTTATTATATATATTTTATTTTCATATATTGCAATCTGTGAGGGCCAGTCCTTCCAAAATTGTGACAGACTGACATGTGTCCTTAGAGTCTGTGACTCCTATTTTAAGCCTTCAAGGACTCAGCAAACATGAGTCCAGGGTTCTCCAGGACAACTTCATTTTAAGTTGGGGCACACAGATCAACATCCTCATCTCCCTCTGCTTCCTGACTGCAGATACAGTGTGACCAGCTGCCTCATGATCCTACTGTCACGGTGAACCACCATCACCAGCAGAAATTCCCCCACCATAAGGATTGTCTTCAGACTGTAAGCCCAAACAACCCTTTGTCATAGTAATGAGACATGTAACTAACATCTCATGAAACTCCAGTCTTCAGAGGCAAGTCTCCTGTCTGCCTTGGCCACAGTGGTGAGTAAGTCCCCAGATGTAGGCCCTACTCCCAACCACACACAGGCTTAAATCCCAGGGAAACTTTATGATTGGCAAAGTTTCAGTCTTTGTCTGATCTATAGTCTTTGTCTCTGGGGCAACCTGCCCTCTCAGAGCTGACATTTCTCCCCCTTGACTTTCTTTGAGATGTTTGTATTTCAGTTCTTTTTAAGAAAATATTTTGAAAACACTTATTTGTCTTCCTAAAGTATGTTGTTACTCTTAAACTTCACTGAAATTTTTAGAAATTGAGCATTCTTATGTGGAGTGAGTAGGGCAGGAATACTAAAAGAAGCATAAGAATATATGTATAAATATATACTTATAAATACATATAATAATATTTATAAAACTTATACATATATTTATAAAAATATAAAAATAATAAAGCTGTAAGTATAAATATAAATACATATTTTTCCTTTTCTTTTAGGCTTCAGAGTTGATATTAGGACTTAAGCAACAGATCTTGAAACACATTTGCTAAGACTCTGGTTGGTTTCTCCATAGAAGTGATCCAAATTCTCTGGTCTAGACTGAGCTGGCAATGGCTCTCGGCATGATTAGCATTTGTGAGGTCCTTAGAGTGAGCCCCCCAAGTGCTGCCTTTTTCTTCTGAGCTGTGTTCTTGGAGTGGGGTGGGTACAGGCTGCAGTGGCAACTTGACACAGGTCTCGGCTCATTCTATGACAGGGTCAAGGGTTAAAGACTATAAAAGTTCTGTGAGGTACCTCCTCTTACAGTACCAGGTCAGTCTTGCCCTTTACATCACTGACTCCCCCCTCCCCCCAATTTAAGAGAAAGAAAGAGCAGAATATTCTTGAGATTAGTGAGACCCAACTAGCCAGGAAGTTTTGGTGGTCAGGACAACGAGGACCTAGGGTTTGGGCAGGAGTTTATGAACTGACAGCTGATGTCTGGGGAAAGACAATGCTGAGGAGGACTTGGGGATGATGATGAGAGCTAGTACCATGACTCGTACCTCTCCCTCCTTCTTCACACTGAGCTTGTGTCTGAAGCTAGGGACAGGGAGGGCTGGGGCACAGCTGAGGTGACCAAGTTCTATTAGAGGAAAACAGATTCTCTTCACTTAAAAAAGATTGACCTTTTGCTTTTGTTTATATGTTTACGCCGGAGTGAATTTATGTGCACAGTTTATGTGCAGGTGCCTACCGAGACTAGAGGGCATCAGATCTAGTGGACCTGGAATTACAGGCAATTGTGAGCCTGGTGTGGGTACTGGGAACCAAACCCATTTTCTGCAAGAGTCATAATCACTTGTAACCAAGAAGCCCCCCCTCCAGCCCCTTCTGTTCTCACTGCCTAAAGGACCATGCATTCTCCACTCTGTCCTTTCCGGCACGCACACTCCATCTAGCTTTGGGGTTGAGGTCTTTTGACTCCCATTCCTGACTCTTGGATGCTGCCCTAGGAAGGGTAAGAATTAGAAGGAAGGCCTGAGAAATTCTGAAAACCTTGAAACTAAAATGCCTTGAGTCCCGTGGGCACTTTTATAAAAAGAAGAAAGACCTTGCATTGTCAGATTTTCCTCAAAACAGATGGTGGTTCAGCCATCTGTTAGACCTAGTAGTTTTTTTTTTTTTTTTTTTTTAAAATATATTTAATTTGATGACTAAGCCTTAGGTCCTTGGGTAAGAGTCTATGCTGAACATTAAAGAAGGCCAACAGTGGGTCTTTTGGGGCTGTGTGTTTTCTGTCCCCAAATCTAATGGTTTATAGCAAGAAAAGAAAAAAAGCAATACCGTCAAAGGTTCCATTTATGCTTTAATAGGCAAACTGAATCACTGATTGACTTGACGACAACGTGCCTGCTGTAAAATTATCTGTGTACAAGAAGTTAAACTGGCCTTGAATTATATTTAACTTTTCTATGGCAGCCATAGAAAACACTTGAGAGGACGTGACACTGTGGTCAATCGAACACTCTGATTACTTCAGGTCTAGCTAGACGCTCGCTTAGATTTTTGTGACTTCTTCATAAAATACCTCACTATCTTTTTTTTTCTTTAGAAAATACGAGTTGTTTGGCAAATATAACTTAATCTTCCATGATTCAGGATCGTGGTGACTCAACTGTCATTAAGAACTTGAATTATCATTGTGGGGAAAGATTGGGCCGAATCCAGGGTGACCTCAGGGCTTCCCTAGAAGTCATGTCTGGGAGAAACTTCAGAATACAGTTCCTTTTCTCTTCTCAAAGTTCATTGCAGGGAGTGGGGGACAGACCGCCTCTGGTGTTTCCGGTAATTTAATAACCGAAGACTGAGTTTCTGAATATTTGAATACATAGAAAGCGAGACTTACTTTACTCTTATCAATATGGTTCAGTAATTTGAGTTCCAGCCAGTGTTAGCCTCATGGACGTGTCACACAGAGGGTCAACACATGCCCAGAGCTATGGAAGGACAAGGGAGGCACTGGAGGCACTCAATCTCACAGCCTCCTGTTTGTCAGACCTGGAGCTATGTTTGTGTGACCAAAGGCACACTTCAGACGCTCTAGGCAGAAGGCATACTGAAGCCACTGCTCAGGGGAGATGGACACATGGAACATATAGTCTGCATACAGGTCTCAGCCGTCTTATAACAAACACTCTTTTTGAGCATGCCACACACACACACATAATAAAATAGGATAATATTTAAGTCTATATCTCCCTATATCTCCCCCAAGCTCCCCTAAAAAGTTGTAACACTCTAGCACTTTGACCATAATAGGCGAGGGTATCAGCTGACATGTTTAATTTGGGCACTGCTGAAGTGATGGCATAGATCAGGTTTTTTTTTTTTTTTTTTTTTTTTTTTTTTTTTTTTTTTTTTTTTGCACCAAGGAACAAATCTGTGGGTTGACCCTAAACTGAGAAGGTGGTTGTTGGTTGTTTAGATTAGGGCTGTAATACACAGTTGGGCAAGACATACCTGGCCCAAGGGGTACAACTGGGGCTGCAGCTGGGTTGGTGGCACTTCAGGAAGGGGGCCTGCCACCTTCTCATCCACCACCCAGATGAGCACCTTTTCAGATTTGTTTGCTGTTTCGCAGTTCTCCAGCCGTTAGAGAGTTCATGCTTCAGTCCCACACAAGGGCATTAGGTATGCGCTGGGGTATCAGTCACAACAAGAAATAGGTCTACGTTGCTGTAGTTACACCAGTCTGGTCCTCAGAGAAGTCAGATGAGGGAGATAAGATGTCCCCAGTGAAATACAGTTCAAGACTTACGGAATGTCTCAAGCAATAGGTGTTTATGACTTGGGGATAGGGTGGCATGTGATTAATTGCCGACACAATGCCAAGCTGCAGGAACTCCGAATAAGAAACATCACTTTTGTCCCTTCGTTCTGGATTGCTACTTTCCCTGAAGGCATTTAACCGAATCGCCCAGCTAGGAGCTGTGTAACCGTATTAGCTGAAATTGCGCTGTGCTCACGGGCTAATGGAAGAGAAATGAGCTTCCCCAGATAGGCTTTAAACTGCAACCATATTGCCCCAGCACACAGCTCATCTATATGGAAACAGAGCAACCAAATAGCCCAGTCCATTAGTGCCTCAAGAATTTTGCTACTACGCCTACTTGCATCTAATATGGTCATGGTTGAACGTTCCCAACTGTGCCTATTTGGATTTTCCTCAAATAATTCTCCCCCATGCACTGGTTTAATGATAATGTTCAGCTCACTTTTGACTGAAACCAACATTAAAGGGATTTATGTCTATATTAAGCCTGGTTATAAAACTTAATGAAATTTAACATTCCTCTAGCACTCCAAAAATTAAAAAAAAAAAAGAAAACTAAAAGAAAACGGGGATGTGCCGTCAGAAGTCCGTCTGCAATTTTCCATCTATGCGCTTCAGGGTTCCAAGGGCATTTGCTTCCTCTCTCTCACAATGCCCTCTGGTGGCAGATTTGACGTCTCTTCTCACTAGGTCTTGTTCTTGGAAATTCTAGCTACTTCTCTAGCTACTGACCTAGAATCTAGGAAAGATGCAGCCCAACAGCAAGGACACCCGAGTGTCGGCATGCCTCAAGCCACAGAACTCTGCCTGGACTGCTTGAGTTGCCCAAAGCTGCTGAGGAGATCCTCGCTGTGATACTGGACGCCGCCCTTATCAGCAGGATTGGGAGAGGCATCAGGTTCTAAATCTAAGAGGAGACAGTGATAATAATAATAGCAATGATGAAAATTTCTAAAGGTCAACACATAGTGCCCTAAACTAACAGCGTCTTAATTGTTTTTAGAGGAGTAGAACATTTTCCCCCTTAGATATTTCTCCAAAGCCCATGGAGTACACGTAGATGGAAGGGTGGTCAGTTGCTCACAGAAATAGCCAAGGTAGCAACTTGGAGTCCCCTTTAGGATGACCACTGCCTGTCTGTGTCTCCTTGGCTTGTCTTCAGATCTTAAATGGCCTGGGATGCATTT